CTTGCAGTAGATTTCTCAGCTTACAAAAAAAGTTTAAAAGTTAAAAAAATCGTTAGGGTCTGTGCAATAAAGTGTTTGCAGTCTTATTTTATCTGAGAAACTCCTTATGGATGTCATAATTGTTATATATTGAACACAGTTATTTATACTTATGCAGTTGCATAACATTGAAATAAAAGTTCAGCATGAAACTGTTGCGTTAGCATTTTTTCTTGAACTGCTTTAACTGCTGTAATGTAAGGCACATTTCTGAAGTCCTCAGAGGCTGGCAATTTTGGTGTTTTTCGGGGCCAGCTCAGTGCACCCTTTAAGGCATATGCTGGTGGAGGGTTTTGCATGAGGAAATGCAGTTTGGTCTGGGAACAGAGAAGATATGCATGGCTGAGTATCTCATCTTAGGCTATGTCTGGATCCTCTGCTCTGCTGTTGGGGATAGGTAAGTGTGGTGTGGTGGTGGATGACACAGCCTGACTGCTGGCTTCTATGAGCAGTAGTCTGTAATGTGACATTTAAACTCTTTCTGCAAAACACATGCAATCATTCATTACCATCGGAGCATATATACTCTTTACTATTCTGCTGCTCCTAACTCTGCAGAGCTGCCCAGGAGTTGGGAATTTGTGTTCATATTTTATTATTGCATTGTTTTGTCTGGATTTTTCCTCTGTACAGAACTAAGTGCAGCAGTGTTACAGCATCACTTTTGCTGCTTTTCTCTCTGTTGTTTGAAACATACAGGTGTGGGGAAGTTGCAGTTCACCCCCAACTTTTCCAGTTTGCTGCAGCCCATTAGAAGGCAGGTAGTCTTGAAAATCTGGTGTGCTGATGGGGGGTGATTGGTGGAGAAGAGGAGGATCCAGCAGCTGAGGGAAGGGAAATTGCAGGAGTTAAGGGTTGACTGTCTCATGCCTCTACCAGCTGTGCTATCCATGGCTGTGGACAGCATAGTTCTCTCTGCCAGGAGAGGCAGAGAAACCTGCATGCCCAGAGTGAGCCTCCAGATTGTTGTGGGACAGAGGAAGGGGGTGGTGTATGGAGTTTGTGTTAAGGGGGAAGTTGGGAGAGTTGTTATATCTGGCACGGCCTGTCACATTCACTTTTTCACCTTACCTGGGATAGAAGTGTTTCCATGGTCTGATGGGGAACGCGAGCTCCCTTTTTCAGCGCTGAACTCTCAGTAACCTTAGGCCCCTACTGTAGTCTTGCGTAGCCTGCAAGACTTCACAGGGACATCCAGCTTGATTTGGATCAAAACTGAGAGGCCAGATCAGAAGGAAAAGATCACAGGACAGGAAGATACTAGAGGGTGCATGGATGCATGTCCCACTGCATGCCTTGAGTTAGCAACAGTTTTTCTTTCCATTGACTGTATCTGTAGTATAGTAGTTGATTAGAACTGACCAAATCAATCTTCCAAGTACCTGCCAAGGATGCATTTGAATGAACTGAGTGTAGGAATCACAGAATGGTTTGGGCTGGAAGAGACTTTAAAGTTCCAACCACTGCGGATAGGAAGCGATGCTAAAGGTTATAGTTCAAAAGCCAAAATTTGGGAGCATCAGGAGGAACCGAGAAGACTGCAGAGCAAGAAGTAACGGTGTAGTTGTCTTCTAGTACACATCAAGCTTTAAGAGATGCATATCTGAAGGGGAAGAGGCTGTCCAAGGGATTTGGTAGGGAAAAATGTCTTCTGCTACTGGGTGAGAAGAATTCCCATTGTTTTTGTTTGATCAGGGAGGTATAGTATAGATTGTTTGGGAAGGGCCCTCACCTCTTCTTTTTCCAGTTACAGACAAAACCAGTGAATGAGAGAGAGAGTTCTTATAAGATGTTCCACTGATATCAGGGTGCATATTTGAAATCAATGTATGTAGAAATTGGCCCACTTAACCATCTTGTTCAGAGTAAAATGCCCCTTCAAAAATTGACTTGCTTCTTACTGAGGGAACTTGCTTAAGGACAGTTAAGGAAAGAAGAAACTGGCTACGAGTTTTGGTTTGACCCGGTGAAATAAAGCTAAATGCTTGCCAGTCTGTGAAATAATGAAGATATGCTCAAGTTCCTTCGCTTTGCATATACTGATAAACTCGGTGTTGTGGTATTGAGTTGTACTGTGACTTTCAGGGATGTCTAGTGCAGGAGCTAAGGTGGTGACAATATAAATTTTGTTAGGCACCATTCACCTCAGACAATTCTCTTGTTCTGTCCGTGTGTTGGCTTCATAGCCATATTTGGAAAAAAAAAAAAACAAAACAAAAAAAAACCCAAAAAAACAAAAAAAACAAACAAAAAACCCAAAAAAACCAAAAAAACAAAAAAAAAACCCCAAGAGATAAACGGCATGATTGAAAGCCAAACTAGTGCATCACATCAGAGCTTGACTAGGTACACAATTCTATAAGAAAAAATCCATTGCCTCTTTCCATGTATATCCTTACTAAGTAATCCCTGAAGACTAAATCTTTGAATTTAACAGTCTCAATGCATAATCTAGAACATTTTAATGTATTACATCTAGAGATAAATTTTCCCTCACAATAGTTAGTCCTTGCATTTAGGGTTTGCATGTTCTGAAATATAAACAGTGTATGCTGTTTTGTTTGCACAGTGTCTTATGAATTACATTTTTTCAGGTAAGTAGAGGAGAGTAAAGCACACTGTAAAGAAAAGAGCAAAATTAGAACACCAAAAGATATGGTAATCTAAAACAAGTTGTGTGAGGGGCAAGGGATAGATTGCAAGAAAGCCTTAATACTCTATGCAAATACATATGTCACAGGAAACATATTTTGCCTTCTCAAACATCTGTGTTTTAACAATAAGTGTATGCCTGAGTCTACACTGTGATGCAGGATATAGCATTTCAGAAACTGGAGGTGGTTAAATCCTGTGCTGTTCTCTCCAAACAGAAGAGCATTTCAGAATACCTTTCAGCACAACATGCAGTTTTCTCTCCAGTCACTACTGTAGGTGGCTGTTAACTGCCTGATACTTGAACAATATTTTTTGTGCCCTTTTGAATGTGCTATGTTCCCTTTTGATGTTAGTATTTGTCTAACACCTTCCTGACTCCACCATTTCAAGAGAGAAAAAAATCTTGCTTTGGTGGAGCACACACTGGCAGTCATGCTGGATTTTTAAGATATTGGAGATTGCTCATTTAACCAATTGGATTTGTAGAGTGAGATGAAAATGCACTTTGAACCTCGGGCTGAGTTCAGCAGTGTCCTTGCCTTGCTCCCAAGATCAAGTCGGGTGAGCTCAGCTCAGGCAGCATGGTCTGCTCAGGGTCGTTCTGGCCTGTAGCTGAGCCCTTGCAGAAGGGCAGGCAGCCCATGCAGCTTCATGCTGGGCAGCTGGACTACAGCACCTGCCCATTGCATCAGGAGGAGTTGTCAGCAGCCACATGAACAGATGAACACATGCCAAATCCGAGAGTGTTTGTAGGCAACTGGAGAAGAACAGCAAACACCTTGGGCAAAAACCCTTGGGCAGCACAGAGCTATGAAGGCAAGAGGAGGAGAAGCTGGAGGGTAGGGCAGTGATGTGTGTGATGCAAAGGCATCTAAAAGCTGCAAATACGCATATTGCATGAATCTGATCTGCTAACATAGAGTAAAAGGGGCTTTTCAAATGAGAGGCATTTCTTGAGGAAATGCCTTTGAACAGCAGCTGAAGTTGAACGTGGAGTCCTGTATGGGAAGTGTTGAGAGAGAGCTGGCCTTCCACATGTCAGAGAGCAACTGTAGCTCTGGCCTAACACAGCAGGGAGTGGTACTGGGCAAGCCTCCCCGTGGTGCCTACTCCAGGAGGCAGAAAGGTCGTACCACCAGGAAAGTTGTGTTTACCCATCAGGGTAAGCCTGTTATTAAAGTAGTAAGTAAATATAAATGACTTTATGGTGATACAGGGCAGATGAGTACGCCCAGCAAGCTCCCATTAGATCCTTGGTCTAATGCACATGCTCTGCCTTGCTCTGGGTTTATTCACATGTGATGGCAGAAAAAACAATTGGCTTTATATAAATAATAAGCCTTTATTCCTGCCTAGCTGTAGTATCTCAACTGAAGCAGGGTTCATTGTCTCTGAATTTACTCCAGGAATGCACACCAGCAGGAACATGAAATAGCTGCTGACAGCAGGAGCTGTCAGCAACCTGTGGGACAAGGTTGTCCAGTGCACTGCCCCCTTTGCAGCCTCCAGTTTTCTCATCTGGGCTGTGGCTGAATGGAACAGTCCACTCCAGGATGACAAAGGAATGGCTCGTGCCTGTTAGCATTGAGGGGTTTTGCCCTGTGCAAGCAAGCAGAGTACTGAACTCACCAACTAGACCCACAAATGTACAGTTTTATGGTGAAAGATCATTCTGTCTTTACTTACTGTGGAGCTTAGAGGACAGGAGCAGGGCCTGCCTCAGGCTGAAAGATGGATAGACAGAATTTCAGTCGCCAGGAATTCTCTTAAGGATCAAAAGTATTTAAAAATATATTTTTAAAAAATCACAGAGGTGATACATGCTGTTTCTGCCAGTCCTCCAGACATATCTTATAAAACTATAAATCTGCTGTTCTTCACAGGTAACAGTTGTTTTGTTGGTTTTGCAGAGTAGGCTACACTACTGCCAGCTCTTATAAAACATATAAAACACTGTGTTTCAAGGGTGTTTGGTGGAGGGTGGAATTTGGTTGGGGATTTTGGTTGAGTTTTCTTGTTTGGTTGTGTTTTGGTTGGGATTTTTTTTTTTTTCTTTTTGGGAGTGGTGGTGCTTAGGTTTTCCTTTTAGGTTTTCTAAGTGCATTAGCCACAGTATTGGTACAATAGGGCTAACGTTGAGTTGAACTGGAACTTCTCTATAAGATAAGTTATTAGTTTTCAAGGTTCAGGTCATAATTTATTTATTCTAATTTTTTCATTATTTTCTAGAGGTTTTAACACAGGTAGAGAGGATATTACAAAAGTTAAGAAAATACATGTCACAAATAAAAACAGTGAGATGTCTCTCAACTTAATACAGTTGCTGTAGACATCTTCTGTGTCCCCATCCTAGACTTACAGTTGCTGTAAACTTTGCTTGAAATAGCACCCCAAATGAAGATGGCACTACAAGATAAAACAAGATCAACTGCAATGATTCCTGACGTGTCCTTCCCACAGGAAAGTGAGTTGGTGGCCAGCTGAACCCAGCTAGCAATTTGGGTTCAGAGTGCCTTGTTCCTTCAGGGTCTTCAATTTTATTCAGATGTTGTTTGTACTAGGTGATTAAATCAATCTTAGAACAGGTGTAGTCCAGAAGTTTGTAGCTTAAATTGATTATAAAGTGGCCACTTAGGGGCACTAGCTGGTCACCTGATACAACATGGATCCTCTTACCGGCACAAGTAAGATAGATACTCTTGAGATTTGAAAACACATCTGTGCTGAATGTAGTAAATTTGTTGTAACTCAGATCAACATGTTGTAACTTCCTGAGGTTGTGAAATACTTTGTTACCTATTGATGTCAGTTCACAGGATGATAATATTAGCACCTCTAAATTGGATAGTTGTTGGAACAGTTTGTCCTTTGGTATGATCCCCAAATCAAAGTTATTTTGACTAAGGTCCAAGAACATGAGGTTTTTCAAGCCTTGAAAGACATGCTGAATGCTAGTATTACTGTGGGACGAGGAAAGATTGCTCGAGATGCAGATTTTGGAAAGGACTCTGTAAGGTGTTGATATAGACAGGAATGAAGGGTAAGTCCAGCAGCTCTAAGCTAGCACTCTCCTAAATGAGTATGTTCTGGAGATTAAGGTGTTTGTTGTGGCTCAGATTCAGGTAACAAAGTCTGCTCAGAGCTCTCAGTGCTTTGCTAGAGCATCAGAACTTTGAAAGTGACTCTGACTTAAATCTAGATGTTGAAGCTTTGCCAGTTTCCCCAGACAGCCAGAGCCTGGCTCCAGAACTTGTGAGTTACCCTTGATGTAGAGGTGGGTACGGGAGGGGAAGGCAGCAGAGCTGGTGTTGCAGAGGCGCTCAAAGCAGTTTTCATTGAAAACCATCTCCTGTTGCAAGCTCATGCCACTGATGACAGGGGGCAGTGCATGGATGTGGGTTTGGGTTAGAGCCAACTTTCGGAGCCTGGTTAAGCTCTGAAATGTGTCAGCATTTCTATTTCTGAAGTGCCATAACTGCAGACAGAGATCCTTGACAGAGATACTACAGAGGCCTTGTTAAATATCTGGGCTTATGTAGAGCTCATTTTACACAACATATAATGTTCCCAGCCAAAAGGTCTGGGCTGTGGAGTTCTGCATTCCCAGCAGGACCCCAGGGATGCCAGCACAGCCCACTAAGTCCAAACTGTAGAAATGTGACTGAAAAGATCCAGATTCAATGTGTGTAATGTCATTGCCTTTAAGGATGAGAGTTACATTGCTGGTCTTCTGCAAGGCTTGGACGTCTTCTGCTGTGATTTCTTGTATGTTGTTCATTTGAAAGTCGAGTGAGGTTTCGCATGGGAAGGTTGGGAGGAAGCTGCAGTGAAGAGATGTGGTTGCTGCCCAAGATGAAGATACCTGAGTTGCCAAGATTTGTCACTGGAATAAAGAATATACTAGTTATTCCTGTCTGTGTTAAGATTCTCTAGGGAACGTGGGCCAGCAAATGCTGTGTCAGACAGAAACATGAGCAGGTTTCTGGCCAGAATGACTGTCTTGTCTATTGTTGGGAAAGGTACACCAAGCTGATCTGACACCTTGAGGAAACAAAGTTGCCTGTCTCACAAAATCTCCTGGTAATGTGATTACACAAAACTGCACCTCATATCTGTTAAACTCCATTATCTGTTGCCCTCAACAGCGTAAAAGTGTATGTCTTTTTCAGTGGTGCTTCCCTGGTACTTTTAAGTTCACATTTAATTATAGGGCTCTGCTGAGAAGAAAAACCTGTCCTGAAATGATGGGTGTGAGCAGGCATTTGTGGGAGATAGGAGATATGAGGTGTTTCATGTCTAACTTAATATCAAAATCTCTTCTGCTATAAAAAAGCCAGCCACTTCAACGGGCCAAACTCCAGTTTTTAGGGGGGAACCATATTGAAAATTAATAAGAATCTGCTCTGGTGACTTTGCTGTTACTACTGTGTTAGAGGTGGTAATATCTGGAAAATGCATATTTCACCCACTGAACTGTAAATGATTGTCCTTAGAGGATAAGCCAAGATATTGCCCAAGTGGATCAGTCTCTGCTTAGCAAAAAAATTCACCAGCTCTCTGAAGGTGCTGGTAGTGATTTCCCTGTGAAGGCAGGAAGATGCTGCTGTGGTGTGCTGCAGAAGTCTCTGACAGGGACAGGGGGTTCATGATTGTGATGAGCAGAAGTGAAGATGCTCCTTGCATACTTTTTAAGTCCAAGTAGAGAATTCAGGTCAGAGAAGTTGAATTCTGGAGGGAAAGGAGCGCATTGAAGCTGAAATTGAGGACTTCTGTTGTGACAAATTGTCATAGGAACCTCCCTCATTCCTAAACCTTCCCAGCTGTAGCTTTTATTTTCTGTAATCTGTGGAAGATACACAGTGAATCTGAAAGAGTTATGTACTGTGAACATAAATAGGAAAACATGGCATTTGGAAAATCCATCTCCCCCACCCAAACTAACACAACCTGCAAAGTAACCCAAAGAGAATTTTGAGTTGTTTAAAATGCCGCAGCCAAAACCCTAGGAAGCCTCAGCACAGGCTCGCAATGCATAGCCCTGGGGTTTTGGGGAGTATGTTTTTAAATGAATGCCTTGAATCTCTCCTGTATTAATTTGAAGTATCTCATCTGCAGTACTTTCTTATCAAAGTTAGCACATATGAGGACTGTTTACTCTTCTGGATTAATGATTAATCCTTTAAAAAGGATCCCCACAAGGTAGTTTTAAATCGTGAATGTCATGAGTCTTGCAACAAAACTTATTCTAAGAGAAGTCTTAAGTAAACCTTACAGAGACGAAGTAAAAAAGAGTAGGTCTGGAAAATGTTTCTAGAAAGAATGTGGCCAAATTAACTGGATATTAATTCAGTTACACACTGCAGTGAGGAGACAGCAGGAATGTTTAGCTCAGACTAGCCAAAAATCATGCCTGATATGCTAAGTCTTTAAAATGTCTACAAAGGCTTTTCAGTTTTATGTGAAAAGAAATCCATCTATTAAATAGAGAAGTCAACTCTGTAGATACCAGGGAAAGTTCACTGAGCGTGCTTGACCTGCCTTTGCCTGCTGGTTACACGAAAGTCAACCAGACCCAAGTTAGTGCCACCCTGAAATAGCCTGCCATGCTGTTGAGGGATGGGAATGCTCATGGCATTTCACTTGTCCCAGCTCCCAGCTGCAATGGGGAGCACAGGCACAGCCAGTGCAGCACCCACCTCCCCTCCTGAAGGACAGAGGGATGTCCTGTCCTGGGTGGTCCCAGGGCCAGCCTAGGAGGGGTGGGGTATTCAAGGCTGTGTAGGAGCTGCTGCTCTGGCAATTTCCTGCCCCACAGCCATGCAAATGTTAGTCTAGTGGGGAAGTAAACACGTGTATGGCATAGTTGGCCAAGATGAGCAGGAATTTGACACAAAGCTAGCGTGCTGGTGGAAGAAAGCAGGGCAGCAGTTGTGTGTCCAGAGAAGAAAGCGCTGAGCCATGACGTGTAGAGGACAGTGCAGGTGTGTGCCTTAGGAGCACAAGCTCTGTCAGGGTTTGTTGAGGTGCCCTGGGGAGCAGTGCATGGGGCTCGGGTCTTTCTGCTGGCACAGCCATGAGTATTTGAGGCTAAACTGCATCTCTGCCTGTCTCTGGCTTAGAAGAGGCACATGGGCTGTGTCTGCACTCAGTAGCCTCAGGAGAAGGGGAAGAGCAGTAGTGTTTGTTGCAAGCCACAGTATGGGTTTGGTGAACATTGTTTTCCTTTCCTTTAAGCACAAATCCTGTAACTGAGGGGTGCCAGGGAGTGTTGGGGAACCAACATGGGCCTCCACTGCTGCAGACAGTGCAGCCTGGCAGGCAGGGGCAGAGAGATGTCAGCAGCAGTGTGGCGGAGTGGGAGGAGGTGGAGAGGGGCTGCCACAGCAAAATTTCCCATCTGGGTGGGGAGCACAGCTCCTCAATTGTCCAGCTCCCTCTGGCACCCAGGGTCCCAGCTGAAGTTCGCTGCCAAGCACATAGCACACAGGGACAGGATCAGCAAGGAGGGATGCAGCCGATGCTGCCCATGGCTGAGTCCCCCCACATGTAGGTGCTTGGCATGGCCTGGGGGCAGCAAGCCGGCCCAGTACCTCCTGTGATAACACTTGTGATAGCACAGGGACTTGGGCCCAGCCTAGAAGCACTGATACAGTGTCAGTATCTACAAAAATGACAAAATATGGACCTAGAAAAGTTGATGCTTTCAATGCTGGTAAGCAAAGGAGAACCTGTGGAGCTAATTGGTGCCATGTGTAGTTTAGACAGATAAAAATAATTTAACTGCCACTGTAAATGAGAAGAGTGCCTATGTTTTGCCTTTCAAACAAAACAGTGACTAAGTAAGCCCTCTCTATATGCTTCAGGGCATGGAGTGGCTCTCACAGTAAACTGAGGAGAAACTATCCCAAGGGGGATCCTGTTGTGCAGCTCCGAGTGCTCAGAGATTTGTAGATTTAATTCAACGAGGAATTTGCTGTTTTCCCCAGGTGTGCATTTCATAGGCTGCTTTTCCCTGAATCAAAAATCTTACCTTTTTTTTCTCTTGTCTGCCACTTGGAATAGAAAAAAATAGATAAAATAAAAAAAAAAAGATAAGAAAAGCAAAGATAGAAGAAAGTATTAAGGAAAAGGAAAAGCTTACTCAGTCTTTTCTCCTGCCTCTGGAAAAGTCCTGGTACTTTCTTACTATTCTCATGTGGTACTGCACACCAACCAAATAGCAAATAGAGACATTATCATATCCCCACTGTGTACAAATTCCTGTATGAAGAGCGCAGTACAAGAGGTTAAATCCTTATACCTTTCTTCTTTCTATCTCTCATACCTGTTAAACACCCTTGGGAAACTTTATTATCCTTCAAGCTCTCTGTACAGCGAAGTACAGTGCTGGTTTGAGGGGTTCCCAAAGTCCCCATCAGTGGTGGGAGAGCATGTGAGGGTGCACTGATGCACAGGTGTGAGGAGGAGGACGGACAGTGGCTGATATCCCTAAGCTTATCCTGAGACACCTGTCTTATTCTTCTGACAAGGACCTCCAGATTCCCCTAAGATAAATCCTGTGAGAACTGGAAACTTTCAGACATCAGCAGGTAACCCAGATGTCTGCAGCTCCATCACTGAGCAGGATGGCAGCTGTCACTCCCTTCCCTGTGCATCCGTGCTGGGTGCTCTGCAGCTGGCACAGGTGAGCTCTGTGAAAATCAGCAGATGTAAATCACACAACTGCACCTTGTGGATTTGTGCTGTGTTGGGAGGCAGGCTGCTGCATTGGATGATCTTGTGCTAACTTCTCTGAATGAAAGTGAGGCTGAGCAGAGAGGTCAGACAAACCGGGGGAGTTGGCCAGGTTTGCAAGGTTGCAAGGAAAAGACATGATGAACTCAGTGTGAGCAAAACAGTAGTTACAGAGTGAAACAGGAATTTACCTGGTTTAAATATAGTAACGTTACTGTGCACTGATGCTTTTCTGAGGCAGAACAGATTTTTTAAAAGTGGAAACTGAGGAAAATTGGTCTTCATGTTCATGTGAACTGGAATGCCTCTGTCAAAGGATAATGCAGATGATGTTGTAGCACACTACCAAAGGAGAATTTCATTAATGGGAAATGAGTTGAACAAAATTTGATTAATCACTTAGGAAAGGCTTGTAAACCAGCTGACAGTCAGAGCTCTTCTTTGGAGGGTGATGGCAGTGCTGGACTTGGCTTTATGAGTTTTATAGTGGACTCAATTTACAGATCTTTTCCAGCCTAAACCATTCTATGACTCTAAGTTCTCTGCCTACACTTTTGCAAAAAGCATTGTGGTGCTGACGGACAACTACTGCAGTACAAACAGTAAAGCTAGAAAGCAATACTTCAATCCAAAAATTAACACTGTTCCTCTTGTATTTAGATTACAGAGAATGATCACTTTTTTGAAGGGGGACAGTATTTCTAACCATCTCTAAGATGAGTGTGTGTGTGGCAGCTGCAGGCAGGAGGGGAGATGTCAGGCCCTGACTGCCCAGGGCAGCACTGAGCACCGACTTCAGCCACACAGCTCAACCTGTCTTTTTCTTTCCTTTCTTAAATGACCGAGTCATTAGCTTGACAGCTTTGCTGCCTTAAATAGCACTCTTTCTCCACCACCTAGGAGAAAAAGGCATGAGGAAAACTCACTGGGCTCAGAAAATGTCTCAGCCTGACAGAGCTGATCCAGATCCTGAACTCAATCAGGGAAGTTTCAAGTAACCAAGATGCCATGTGGAGTGCATCAAGGTCAGCACCCAGGAAGGTGAAGACACCCCAACTTCTCTGGTGCTAAGGCTATGCACAAAATCAGTGCCTTCAGCTCTGGAACAGTGTATAAAGGCCACAGCTGTGCTGGTAACTGGAGCTGATGTCAGGGTTCATCACGCTGAGCTCATTGCTGCAGGCAGCTGAGGAGAGGGGAGCAGTCAGCCAGGTAGGAGGGAAGCTGCCAGAAGTGCAGAGCGCTTCATTTTCCACACTTGCCTAAACCTGTTGGGTGGGCTGATGGGGCGGGCAGGCACTGAGAGACTGCAGAACCAGTTCCCTGCTGCTGTATTTGTTTGCTACTGTGATGCTTCTGTGCCGACCTGATTGGCTGCGGTTTTTTCCCTCCTCTTTATAGTATACATAAGAAAATACCTTATCTCAATGACAAGCTGAAAAGCTGACTCCACATTCCACTAACAGCTCTGTCTCTTCCCCAGCCAGTTCTGTGTTTGCTGGAAATCCTGCTTGCCCTGCCACTGGTCACAAAAAGTTCTGAAAGAATTTCATTTATATGTTTGCTCTTTGTTTATCTTCCATTTCCCATGTTAATGCTCAAAAGCTAAGGCTTGGTGTGTCCCTGTGTATTGGATTTGCACAGACAGGTTTTGGTAGTGGGGGTGCTACAAGGATGGCTTCTGCGAGAAGCTGCTAGAAGCTTCCTTCATGCCCAGCAGATCCAATGCCAGGAGGTTCCAGGATGCCCCTGGTGCCCCTGGCCAAGGCTGAATCCATTAGAAATGGCTCTGTGACAACAGATTTAAGAAGGGGGAAAAAAAGTTACTCTGCAAATGTAATTGCAGCCAGAGAAGAGCAGGGTGACAATATGTGAGAGGAACAGCCCTGCTGTTGTGAAGGAGGGACAGAAGGCACTCCAGGCTCCAGAGCTGAGGTTCCCCTTCAGCCCATGGTGAGACCACGGTGAGGCAGCTGTGGCCCTGCAGCCCACGGACATCCAGAAGGATGCAGAGATCCACCTGCAGCCCCTGGAGGAGACCCAGGCCAGAGCGGGCAGATGCCTGAGAGGGGGCTGTGAACCCATGGGAGGCCTGTGCTGGAGCAGGGT